TTTTTAGTCTTGGATCATTACTGTCCCTACTGGCCAAATATAGTTGTCTTTTGTGTTTACATGAAGTTTTTATTCCAATTGTTATCCAGGTGGATTTGTTTTTATTTTCATTTTTGACTATTTTTAAGGGAAAGCTTGAATAAAAGATCCTCAAGTATGTGTTCAGAAAGCAATTAAATTTAGAATCAATATTATTGCTGTCAAATACATTGTCCCATGATTCATTACTTAATTTTGTGACAAAATCTGCCATCGTATGCTTGTTGATTTTCCTTACTGTTTGATATTGTTGATTACTGGACTGAAGGTCAATATTATTTATTTCTATGGTTCCCTAGTATGCAGCATTCTCTTTGTCAGTTCACCATACAGCTATTATCCACCTAGTTTATAACATAATACGTACACAGCAGGCTGGAAAAGGCTTAGCAGGTCCTATAGTGATTTGTAAAGTGTGTAGATTAGCAGTGGTGCTGCAAGTTCTGAGTTGCATATATAAATGGTAAGTAAAGCCATTGAACAATCCAAACCCTGCCTGTAGTCACACCCCTGGATTGTGACAGTATATTATTCCTGTACTGATTGAAAGTTTGTAAGTGGAACAGCCATTAGGTATGCCACCCACAATATCTTAAGGCACATAAACATTTTGACCTTAAATTCTCGTTGTAGTTATGAAAGTGTATGTCATGTTGCCTAAAAGTCAGAATGTTGAGTCAGAGGTATTGCAGATCCATCCTAGGCAGCATCAGGCCCCAATCACCAACACCCACATTTCTCCACAACAATCAAGGAACTCTTGGGGGGCAGTACTTTCTAACCCATCCACAACAAAGTCGTATACAGAGAGAGCCCACGGGCTGACAGAGGAGTCCTTGTATTCAGAGCCCAAAACTTAGCTACATGTCTGTGAAGGCAATCAATAAAGAACCAAGCAAGAGTGATATGAGATTGTGAATGATTATAAATTCTTGTAATGTATGTAATTATTTGTAAATAAGAGTAATCTTTGTCCAGTAAATTCAGTTATCAATTCAAGGTGCATGTTTAGTCACTGTCATGTAACAATTGGTTGCAGAATTAGGATCGGATTGCAGATTGGAATTGACAACATCCAATCATGAACAGGTTGAAACATGCGATAAACAAAACAGTGACTTCCTTAAATAACACGAAAGAAAAAATTGAGGCTGCACTGGATGCTATCCACTGTGTCCAGACTGAATTTGAAGAACTTATCAGTAAATAAGTGGGGGACCAGAACATTGAAGTTCAAGACATGACGGGACATAAACCATTGAACGTATCTGTTGATATACAGTCTCAGAGCCTTCATAAAGAAACTTGACATGAGGATCTAAGAAAAATGAATCAGGAAACAAGTGATGAAGGGTGCTGGTACAAGCCATATGGCATGTGCTCAAAACACAACTGGCAGAAGTTTACACCTAAGTGGGTCAAGAATGTTGCAAAAACACAGCAGCTAGAGCAGATAAAGCCACCAGCATTTAATGGGTCCATGTCCTGGACCTTGTTTTATGTGTCAGTTTTAAGGCCGTGACAGGACACAGCAACTGGACTGACCAGAAGAAAGCCACACATCTACTGGCCATCCTATGGGTGCAGACTGTCTGTGTCCTGCATAGCATCCCTACAGAAGCAACTTATGAAGACATCATCCAGGCTCAGCTGCATATTTCTTTCCCCAGCCCCAAAATAGGACCCAATTAGTTGGTGAATCTCAGCAAGGGTTTGCCACCACCATTGAAAAGTCGGCCCACTGGGCCCTTCTTGGGCTGCCCCATTACTTTTCATTTGTCAGTGGGTTAAGAGACCAAGAGGTGGAGTTTCCTCTCCTAATATGTAAAGACAGGATGGAGGCCTGAGGGTAGAGATTGCAAAGTTTGAAGCAAGGCTGTGGGCAATAAGGAATGGGATGGAGTGCACTTAAGAACATGGTTGCTAGGGGTCAAGTGCAGCAGGACTGGATGACCCATATACTGTCAATGTGGGGACATCTACCATCTTAGGGGAGACTTCTGACAGTAATACACCCAGAATTGAGTGGAGGATGGTGCCAAGAAGGTGTTGGTGCCATCACTCCTGTCTTTCTACACACTCAGCATGTTGGCAAGGCAGAGAGATGACAGCCTAAATGCCAAAGGAGGAATAGGCGACAAAATCATGGCTACTGACCATTGATGCTGGGTCATCAGTGACAGTCACCAGTCGATATCGCTGCAGGGCTGCCATATGTGCTGCATATAGCATTGGGAGAGATGCTCCCTATCTTGAAGGAGGCACTGGTAAAAGTGACCCTTGGGTGGCACCTGCTGCTGTCATGGGTGTTCATCACCAGAATTGCAGATGTGTTCATCCTTTGGCTGGATGCCTTGGGTGCCCATGATTCTTTCATGGATATGGGGCACCACATGATACAACTGAAGGGTGAAAAAGCTCCTCTCATTCTTTCTCATGTATGATGGGCAGCAGAAAAGTGTGTAGCTGGAGTTTGTAGGGCAGGAACAGGAGTTCAGCCCTGAAAGGAAAATTCAAGGAGACCTCCAGCAGTGGAAGCGTGCTAATGGATATGCACCCCTAGGAGGGCAATGCTAGATAGAACATACTGCTCTAAGGAGGGAGCAGTTGAATGACTGAAAATGAAGGCTGGACAATGTCCAAAGCAGAAGGAGAAAAGTCAGTACCAGTATGTCATTTTAGCTCCATTTGTGAAAGTAATCGTAGACATAATGTGGAGGAAATGGCGTTGTGCCTTTAGGGATCTTGGGATAGGCAGTCATAAGATGAGGGAGATGTGACATGACCCTTAAAAGTCAAAGTTTGTAATTACAAATATCACGGCATCCATTACTAATCAATGTCAGGCACCAATCATCAGCCATATGCACACAACAGTCAAGGAACTGTGGGGAGCAGTATTTTCTGCTCAGTCCACAACCAAATGATATGCAGAGAGGCCACAAACTGACAAGAGGAGTTTCTGTATTTAGAGCCCAAAACTCAGCAACATGTATGTGAAGCGAACCTGCATTTAACCAAGCAGGAGTGTTAAAAAGATTGTGAACAATAAATGAGAGTTATTAGTACTGAACCCTGTCTCTAATCACTGTCACATGAGAATATGATTAGCCACATTTATGCAAATTTTTCTCACATCACATGGTCATCATTTTGGTACATCTTTGGAAGTACCATGCCAGAACATGAGATTGAAGAGAATATGTGATGTGATCTCTGCCTGTCAGTGGTAATATTATGCATGATGAGTCATGTTGTGACCTACACAAACATGATTCATTGTGTCATGACTCATCCAGCCCTTCAGTACAGTTAAGTTATATTTCTTTGTCTGTCAAATTCTGTAGTGGTTTGGTGAAATACAAAATTAATTTATATTTTTTCAAGTTTGGTGGCGGGTGCTGTGTCAAAGATCTTCGTGTTTAAAACAGTGTTGCAATCCCTTGTATGTGGGCCATTGTGCAAGTTCCAAGAAAAACATGGAATGCATGTTGGACTGGATGGTAAAAGGGTACCAAGCTTTCAGAAATTGTGAAGGCTCTGTGAGAAACATAGAAATGCTATTGCATATTAGTCCAAAGTTTCACAAATGAAATGGCTGTCTCTTCAACCTTAGAAAATTACATAAACGAGTAGAAACACTTGAGCACTTTTAAAATTGAGTAGACAGTATTGTTTCTTTTTTGAAGAAGACTCTGGAATCATTAGAAGAATCAGCACTTTCCACTTAAATATCTTAATTGAAGTATTCAAAGAAGACATTCTATAAGTCAGCGAGTCATGATAAGAGAAGCATTCAGTTTATCAGGCTTCATTGGTAGTGACAGCTAGGGTGAAGGTGAAATGGTAGTAGAGTTAAAGGAAAAATGTAACATAACAGGAAAGAGGATTAAAGAGGTTCAAATTTTTATTGTTCTTCCAAAAAGCTTGTCACTTAGGAAAATCCAACAAGATTTGCAGCTTGTCAGTATGACAAAAAGTGGCCTCTCTGTGTGTTATAAGTGAATGATAGTGAAATTTAACCAACATTTTTGCATCCCTCTGGCCAAGTATATCTTTCATGTTTTCGTCATGACCAGTCACTATGGGTTCAGTCATCAAAAGTGCCTGCAAAAATGGGTCAGTAAACTGCAAGGTGTCAAGTATATGTTATCAGTGAAGGGGAGTCCTGTTACACTCCAGAGAAACTGAGACCCTGTTTAGCTGACAAAATAACTCTTGCAGATGATATATTTTACATAAATGAAAAATTAATTTTAATATTTTAAAGAATAAGACTGCCAAGTTTAACATTTGCCTTGCTTATTAATTCTCTTACCTGTCAAGCTTACTGTTATCTTTATTCCAAGTGAGAGAAAAACATATATAAAACCTTTAATTATAAACAAATATGTATATCAAGCCTTTCATGTCCAAACATTAAATTTACCAAAAATCATGCAGTATTTTGGAAAGTGTTTATAAAACTTCTGCCCAGGTTCCAAAATCAATAACTTCTTTTAAATTCCAGCTCACATTTTGCACAGTGTGCAGTAGTGTTGCATTTTTTGTGCAGTAAGTAGATGGCTGTCACAGATAGGTATTAATAATATGAGGCATCTTAGTGTTTCTAGAGTCTTTCAGAAAGTGTATAAACTTACCCATTGACATAGTGTCTGAACTGCAAAGGTTATCTAATGAATTTATGACTTTTTTTTTTGCAATGTAGTTTCATATATGTTTTCATTTTCTGAAAAACCAGAATCATATTTGATTTTGTTCTGCTTAGGTTTTACAGTGATCCAGTAATTGTGCTGGATTTTCAGAGTTTGTATCCATCAGTTATCATTGCCTACAACTACTGCTTCTCAACCTGCCTTGGAAAGGTGGAACATCTGGGACAGTAAGTCTGTTACTGTTATTGTCTTTGTTGTTGTTGTTGTTGTTGTTGTTGTTAGGAGTAAGTGTAGTAGTCATGGTACCACTAACAGCAGCAGTTGTGATTGTAGTGTAACTCAATCAGTACAGTGACTGGCTGTGGCTGGATGACCATGATTCAGTTCCTGGCTCCTGAGCAGGAATTCTGTCTACACCACAGTGTCCTGACTATCTGTACATTCCACCCAGTGCCATGGATACTGGTAGCTACTAATATGACTGGAGTGTGAAACTGACCACTTCTGTCCATGTAGTAAAAGGTTAACTACGAGGGTCGTACTGAAAGTCATGAGCAACAATTTTTTGTAAAGTAACATGCTTTGTTATTGACAAACCAAATACCCCACCTCAATCTACAGACCTTTCTTTATTTTTCCACATAATCGCCACTTCTTTGTACACTTTTCTCCCAGCGTTCTGGGAGTTTGAAAGTTCCCCGTCTGTAAAATTCTGTTCCAGCCATCTGAAGACACTGACGCACTGCTTCCTGAATTGCCTACCTTGTCTCAGAACGTTGTCCATGCAGCTGATCCTTCACGAAACCAAAAAAATGGTAGTCGGAGGGTGCCAGATCAGGCCTATAGGAGGGGTGTGGAAGAACTTCCCACCCCATCTTTGCAATTGCTTCCAATGTGAGGCGAGCGGCATTGGGGCGAGAATTGTCATGCAGGATGATGATGTTTCGTCCCGGACATTTATTGCACAATGCACAATGAAGCTTGTGCAGCGTCTGGACATAACGAGCAGCATTGATGGTTTGGCCAGGTTCCAGGAATTCGGCCGGAATAAACCCCTCTGCATCCCAGAAGACTGTGCCCATCACCTTCACAGCTGATGGCACTGTGTTTGCCTTCTTTTTTGATGGAGAATGCAAATGGTGCCATTCCATACTCTGCCGTTTTGTTTCAGGCTCGAAATGGTGAAACCAGCTTTTGTCACCTGTCACAATACAGAGTAAAAAATCATCGCCTTTGTGTCGATATCTCTGCAGCAGTTCTGAGGTGATGGCTTTTCACTGACCTTTGTGATCTTCGGTCAATAACCGCAGGACCCAACGAGCACAAACTTTCCTATAGCCCAAGCTTTCAATCATCTCCTGTACTGCACTGTGCCCTATTCCAAGTTTTCGGGCTGTTGTGTCCACAGTCACATGCCTGTCATCTTGAATGATCTCATCCACTCTTTCCTTGTTGCGTTCAGTTGAGGCTGTTCGAGGATGACCGCTCCGAGGCTCATCTTCAATGCTGGTGTTCCCATCTTTAAAATGTTTCACCCTTCTTCGAACACTGCTCACACCCATGCACACACTTCCATAAGCACACTGAAATCTGTGGTGAATTTTTGCAGCAGGGATTTCCTCTTTCACAATAAATTCGATGACAGCACGTTGGTGAAACGACATATCATTGTTGGCCATTTTGTTAGAAGTGATACTGGTCATGTGATGCAAGCTGTTGACGTCACAAGACACTCAAGCTTAACACTGGTTCCACCTACCACCATACTCTCTTCCATCTGCTGTTCCCAGGTTGCAAAAAAATAAAGTAGCTCATTTCTTTCGGCATGACCTTCGTACATATGGAGCTGTATTTTACTCCCCCATGTTTATTTATGGGGACAGCTTTATTCTTTACTTTATCTCTATTATTACCTTTCTTATTATGCTGTCATGTGTTCTGCACTTGCAAATTTGTGTATGTACCAGTACTCATCACCTCATGTATTCATTCTTTTATTTTTCTTCTGGGGACATTTTTAATTCCATATCACAAGAAAATTGAATCATTTCAACAGCCAACAAAATTATCTTCAGCTCCTTATTTCTTCACACAGCTATTTCCTTTTGTTGGTTTCTTGTCATTCATTTCGGTCTTATATTGCAAACATAAATAATATATGTGCATGTTGAGGTTCTCATGGCAGTGACTGTAAAGGTTGCTGTCTTATGCGATGAAATAGCACGTAATATGGCAGATAAACACCAGCATTTTGGGGAATCTGCTTTCTCCAACTTCAGGATTGAGGCAGCAGGTTACTCCAAGTGTTGGAAGCTTTTTATCACACTACACATCATTACATCATTTCAGTGCTGTGTTTATGTACTAAATTATGTTAGAAGTAATACATACTTTTATTCATTGATGTTATTGGAACCTGATACAATTTTATTCAGGTTCCTATGAGATTTATGCATAATTTATGGATGGCAATGTTTTGTAGGGCAACTCCATTTCTATTTGGCTGCACCCAGCTTAAAGTTCCTCCTGCACATCTGGTAAAATTGGAGAGCAGTATCAACATATCACCCTGTGGAGTAGCATTTGTGAATGATGGGATAAGGAAGGGCATTCTACCACAGATGCTACAAGAAATTCTGGACACCAGGTTAATGGTAATTGTATTCATTATTCATATACAAGTGTTGGATAAAAAGTAGTGGCAACACTGCTATAACATGAAATATGTGCATCAGGTGGCACTAGCGCCATCTGTAGCTGATAGCAGAAGTTCAGTTGAAGTAGTGCAGTGAGTGGCTCTGGTTGTGTTTCATTGAGTTGCATTGTGCATTGTCTTGAAGTGCAGGAGCCCAGTTGAAGCACCCTAACAACGTGTTTATGAAACAAGAACAGTGCTCCTGGATAAAAATTTAAGTTGTACAAGGTCGTAGTGCACAAAACTGTTATCAGGGACTGCGAGAATCATGTGGTGACGCTGCTTTGCCATATTGCACAGTGGCACGATGGGTGAAATTGTTCCGTGAAGGGAAGAATGCCATTCAGGACAACCACACAATTCACCTTCTTGCTTCTTTGCTGAATGTTGATCGCAGATGGGCTGAGCGGGAGTTAGCTGCTGAGGTAGGCTTGTCACCAAACCGTGCTCCACATTCTGCACAATATTCTTCAATGCCACAAAATTGCAGTGCGTTGGGTACCCCGTAAAATGTCCGAGGTGCAACAATGGCAGCGTTATGCAGTTGCACAGGAATTGTTGAATAGGTACCAGAAGGAAGGTGACGACTTGCTATGAAACTTGGGCTCGCTCATATGAACTGCACTTGAAGCGAAATCAAATGAATGGAAGCATCCTGGCTCTTCTCATCCAAAGAAAGTGCACCCTACACAGAGTAATGCGCATGCGATGTTCATTGTGGCATATGACATTGATGGAGTGATACTACACCACACTGTACCGCAATGACAGACAGTAAACGCTGCCTACTACTGCAGTTTTCTGCATAATCGTCTTAGTTCAGCACTCAGGAGAAAGCGACGATACTTGTTGGCAACAAACCCCATCATCTTTCATGACAGTGGAAGGGCTCAGACTGCTGACGCTGTCAAGGATCTTTGCCGCTGACAATGGAAGATACTGTAACACCCACCATACTCAGCCGATATGAGTCCGTGCGATTATGATCTCTTTGTCAAAATGAAAGAACCACTGCAAAGGACACCTTACAACACAAGAGAGGAAATTATTCATGCTGAGGCCAGTCACTGCTGGACACATATGATGCCTTCCACAAATTTGGCAGAAGGTGGAACACATGGGGGGCGATTATATTGAAGGAATGTAAGTGTGTTTACCTCAGGTAATATAGTCATTTCAGAACTATAGAGGTGATGTCACTACTTTTTATCTGCCTTATGTATTTATCATCATGATTCACTGATGTATTTGTCAGACTGCTGTCTTCTGATGAGTCCTTTCAATTCTTCTCTCTCACTTATTTTTGTCATGCATTGCTTACATTTTATACAGGTTGGTGAGCAAGAACATAATCTATTCTTTCCACAATCTTTTTTCCATTTTGATATTTGGACATGTTATGCCGCAAATTTCGAAAAGGGAAATTTGAGGCATGGCCCCAAATGTTACAACAATTGCAAAAGAGTTTTCACAATGATCCAGCTAAGGATGGCAACACATAGACGGTGTAACTAGGTCAACAATGTACTTAGTCGGCATCAGTGCGTAATGAATGAGTGAATGAAGTTCCTAGTTACACAAGGATGAGATGCCACGGATTTGTCCATGACAAAAAGGTGTTAGCCAATGGGAACCCACCGGTCGTAATTTAAGGGCAAAAAAAGGAGGAGGTAGCTTTACTTTTGGGGAAGCAGCTGTGTTAGCAGCTTTATAGTATAAAGAGAGAGAAAAAAAAGACGTTGAGCGGACTGATAAAAAAAACGTAATATTTGACAAGCAGCCAAAGGCTCTGTTTGGCATGGGTGCTACAAGTGGTGGTGTTCGTCTGTGTCTCTATCCCAAGTAAGTCAGTTTACTCATACTAGCCATGTTGTTCAAATTTATTATTGTTTGTGAAATTGTTGAAGTGCAATCTCCAGTGTGCCCTGCGAGCCTTAGAGTAGGATAGGAGAAATAGTATAATAAGTGATTGCCGGGGTTGCTGGTGTGGTAAATATGGCTGTCGTTACATTGTGTGTTACAAATTGCTGGTAGTATGCAGAGCGCGCATATTTGTTGTTCATGGTTGTGACCACGGATTTTGTGATAAACAAGCTTTTTAGTATTGAGAGCTCTAGGAGCAGAATATTTTAAGGGTGAAGCATTATGATAGGATAGGGTTGATCTGTGAAATGAGTGGTAAGGAATGACAAGAGGAAAAAGGTTCACGTTGAACGAGTAAACTCGTATAGCCTCACGAGCCGAATTAGGAGAAGAAAAGAGAGACGGACTCAAGTCATACACTCTAGAAGAGCAGATCATAATGAAGTGATGGCCTGGCAAAGTAAAGACACTATGTAGTCCCGACTGAAAGTCAGCATTGTTATTACTGTAAGTACGTATATTATTGTAAATAAGGGTGTAAATATACCTGAGTTATTAGGATAGGATGTACTCAGAGTTGAGATTTACCGCCCTGAACAGAACCCTTCCCCGACCGATCCGGAGCTATCCTAGTCCTGATGAAGGCAGAATTGACCCCAGGCAGCCAATGGCAGCTGTATGCAATGAAAAAGTTTCAGAGCCAGGAGAATCCTAGTTGAGGTTAATCAAATAACACCCGTCTTGAGGGTGTGACAGGTAGTGGGTAGAGACGGGGCAGAACCCACGCACCCGCTCTACGCCATCACAAAGTGGTACCAATGAAGGTGGGATCAGCCAGCGAAAGGATGGCAACGGAGTAATTTAGCATCATTTTGTTTAACCACCCCGTCACCCCCTTCAGGCATTACAGGACAGTTTTTTCATTTCTTCATGTTACCTTCCAGTACCTGGCTAAATATCTTGTTCTACATTGCCCCATAGGTATCTTAATTCAAATACATTTCTCAGTAACCATCTTCTGTCTTATCTTTTTACATGATCAAACCATTGTAATTATTCTTTCTGTTTTTCCCCAAATACTTCTTTGAGAAGTTTTATGTTCATCGGTTCGCTTTTCTTTCACTTCTCTTAGTAGAGTTTTGTGTATTGGCATTATACAGGGTGGGGCGCAGAAACTTCCTTTTTTTGAAGGCGAATAAAAGAAAAATTATTGCTGATAGACAAAATTTATGTTTAGCTAATGAAAGAACATATTTTAAAGTTTTAAATCATGTAGTTTTAAACAAAATATTTTGAAGGTGGTGGCCACCTTTCTCTATGCACTGATGCAACCGTTTTCTGAAGTTCCCCTCTGCACGTTCCACCATGTGCACCGGAATTTGGGCTACTTCCTGCTGAATAACATTCTTCAGCTGAAGGAGGTTTGTCGGGGCGATGTTTAAAAACCTCTGCCCTGAGGTATCCCCATAAAGGAAAATCACAGGGCATTAGATCAGGTGAGTGCACTGCCCACAGGATGTCACCTCGAAGCGAGATGAACTGTCCAGGGAACTGTGCCGTCAAAACTGTCATCAAAGCTCAGGCTGTGTGGGCTGTGGGACCAGACATTTCCTAGATGCATTTCTTCAAGAGCTGTTCGAAAAAGTTTTTAATCATGTCCACGTACCTCTGTGAATTGACAGTAACTGCATGATTGTCTTCTTCAAAAAAATAAGAGGCCAATAACTCCAACTCTTGACAATGTGCACCATACTGTCACCTTATCCCTGTGAAGTGGCCTCTCATGGAGCTCTCTGGGATTGTTACCACTCGAATAGCGCATATTCTGCTTGTTGACATATCCAGATAGGTGAAAATGTGCCTCATCAATAAAGAAAACAAGTGCGTTAGGGGTTAAAGTTTCCAATAACGTTTCGCACGCTGTTATTCGGTTATGGAAATCATGTGGTGACAATAGTTGCACAACAACCATCTTGCAGGGATGGAAATGAAGATGTTTGTGAAGAATTCAGCGCATTGAACGATTGGATATGTCTAGGGCGACTGCATGTTTGCGAGCGGAGCGTCTTGTAGATCTCAAAATTGACTGTCAAACTGCCTCCACATTTTCTGGCGTCGCAACGGTCCGTTGTCATCCTGATGATTTTTCGTCCTAAAGTTCTCTACCCACAAAACAATCGATTTCCGGTCAGGAACCGGACCTCTGGGCTTAATTCCGAAGTAAGTACGGAACACACTCTGCACCGCCATGGAGGAATGGTTGTTCGAAAAATAGGCTTCAACAGCAAACGCACGCTGCTCACTCGTCCACCTCATGTTTCCTACTGAGGGATATTAGACAGAAACTTCCATGACTGCTGTGTTCGCCAAGCCTGTCCCCAATTTTCTGCGACCTCCCCTCCATTCACAATGCGTCTTCACAAAAATGAAGTTTCTGCGCCCCACTCTATATGTTAATATCAGTTTAGTACATGTTTTAGAGGTTGTTTTGTGTTGTTCTGGCATACCTGTGTTTCATACAAGGGCTATTTGGAAAGTAACATCTGTTTATTTTAGGCCACTAATGTAGGAGAGGGGGAGATCTCACACATACATGACTTGTAAATGGTCACATCACTTGTCACCTAGTGTTTGTCGTTGTCTCTGCAAACTAAGTTATGATGTGTCCTACAATTAATAATTCCACCAGCTGCAAAATGAGTCCTGCAGAAATTCATCATGAATTTTGTGCAGTTATTGGTCAAAATGTAATGAGTAAGGGAACTGTAAAGGCATGCACTGTCTTCGCTCGCTTGGGAGCCGGGATCGTGGGTTCGAATCCCACTCAGGGCATGGATGTTTGTGTGTGTCTTCTGTGTTTGTGTACAGGTAGAGGCCTTGCGACAAGCTGATCACTCGCCCAAGGAGTCCTACCGTATGTGTAAGATCTAGAAAGACCAAAGTGAGCGGAGTTCATGGAGGTAGACCTAGGCCCACTGGGGCTGTAGTGCCAAGGAAAAAAAAAAGGGAACTCTAAGACAGTGGTGTCAAATGTTCACGATGAAGAGCAATATGGTCACTGGCCATCTGTAGTGAGTGATGATCTTGTTCAAAATG